TAGTTTAATTGCGTTAGATAAAGTCCGGAAAAATTTCGGCGCGCAGTTTGAATAACTACAAAAATATGATATATATGCATGTACATGTATAGGATATAGATAATTCACTGGGAATTATTTAGGCAAAAAAAAGATCTAGCTTTGACCGTCATAGGCCCGAATATGCTTATACTTAGCATACATTTAAATATATGAGTTATTGCGAAGAATCTTATTAAATTAAGGCCCATTTATTTGTATATACAATTATAGTTTAAGGACATATATGTAGTATACAGGGTGTATCTGAAATAACGCCTACTAACCATACAGTGCTATTTCTAATAAAAAACTGAGTCAAAAAGTCCTCTACCATTTTGCAATTTTCACAATATTTTTTTTTAGTTAGCCAATAAAACATCTAAAATCAACGTATATAAGACAACTTTAAGATATCTTTAAGAAATATCTTCAAAATATTTCATAAAGAACACTGAAAGATATCTTAAAATTATATTATATTTATTTCAGATACACTCTGTATAAATTCACACAGAATTATTTCATCACTAAAGATCTAGCTTGACCATTATCCTTATTTCTTAATTGTTATGTCACATAAGTCTTATTGAAAATTTCGTATTGTTTTTAACTGTCGTTCGATATTTGTATATATCGTATAAAATAATAAATTTTTGTTAACATTGATAATGATCTGATTATTCCTAGAGTCTGTTTGTTTATCAAATTTTTCATATAAATTTTAGCAATAATCACTTAGCTCATAACCTATTATTATTAAATTTTACTTCTGTAAAATTTGTTAAATATCTTATTTTACTTTTGACTTATTTTATACAAAAAATTGCTTCGCTTTGGTTATATTACGATTTATTTGAATATAATTATTTTATAAAAATATAAAGATGTTATGTTACCTGAATCAGAATCCTTCTCTCCATCATCATTTATATCATCAGCTTCATTCATTACGTACTCATCTTCGCTTTCACCAGTCTTTCTCATCATCAATGCTTTTTTCAGCTCCTGTAAAATAATCAGAATTTGGATACACATGATAATTTCGTTAAAGTTAAAAGTCACACACCTCCTCACTATCTGACGCCATTTCTTCTCGATAATTGATCTTTCGTCCTCGAGTCCGTCTGCTTAATATTTCTTCTTCTTCTCGTTTGTTTTCGTCTGGAAGTCCACCATAAATAATCTGTAAACAATAAAATTTGATAAAATTAATATTGTTTGAAAATGGACATTTATAATCAGGGTTGGCAATGCTACCTCATAAAAATATCGTTACCATTACCGGTTTTTTTTTTCCTAAAAAGTAAGGCTGAGTTTCCATTGAGCGCGTCACGCGTCACATCGTCGAAGGAGAGAAAGAAAGAGGTTGTGTGTGTGTGTGTGTGTGTGTGTGTGTGTGTGTGTGTGTGTACAGGGTGGACCATCTGAAGTGATCCAGTCAAATAGCTCGAAAACTAGTAGGGATAGAGAAAAATGTTTCGTATGAAAAGTTTAGGGTTACACGGGGGAAGTATGGTACTGACCTTGAAAAATCCTTGGAAGGTCATTTTGAAGGTCATTCAGGGGTCACGATGGTTTTTTTAAATGGAACCCCTAGTTTTTCACCATGGGATGAGAAAGCTGGTTTCAAGCCCTTTACGAAACACTGGTTGTGGTCCACAATCCGCCCACTGGGGTCCGAGTTATGGACCTTCAAAGTCATTGATGAACTACTCTTAGCGCTACCCAGGAACAACGACGTGGACGTGGTAGTTCTCTGTTCCCTTCGAGGTGCTTGATTTTTGCGACTCTTCAACAGTTTTCGAGAGTCGACACTCATTCATAACTCTGATTGAATCAAATGGAATAATCCAAGAGATTATTCCTCTCAGTGCGAGTCGACGGATGGGCGGGGGCTTTACGATCCGGCCATCGGGATACCGATCCCGGTAAGCTCTTGCGGCTTCGCGATAATTAGTGTGACATTCGCCAAGCACGAGCAACATGTCAACAATTTCAGAGGGTTGATAGTGGTTCATTTCTTTGATTGAATACGCAAGAGAAGACAACGATTGTGACTGCCACAGTTTGAAACCTGTGTTTCAATGATCATTTATTGCCGTGGTCATCCACATAATAACAAACCGCAATAAACAGAGATTCGATGTTTCCGTTTGTTGTTGAATTCTTGTTCGTCACTCTCCGAAGATTGTGAGCGATTTGAATAGGGATAACAGTTAATTAACTCCATTGAAAAGAAAAACATAAACATAAACAAACGAGAACACCGAGTCTCTGTTTATCATGGGTGGCAGTCATGTGTTCGGTTAACGATTTACTATTGGAAATCTCTTGGATTATTCCATTTGATTCAATCAGAGTTATGAATGAGTATCGACTCTCGAAAACTGTTGAAGAGTCGCAAAAATCAAGCACCTCGAAGGGAACAGAGAACTACCACGTCCACGTCGTTGTTCCTGGGTAGCGCTAAGAGTAGTTCATCAATGACTTTGATGGTCCATAACTCGGACCCCAGTGGGCGGATTGTGGACCACAACCAGTGTTTCGTAAAGGGCTTGAAACCAGCTTTCTCATCCCATGGTGAAAAACTAGGGGTTCCATTTAAAAAAACCATCGTGACCCCTGAATGACCTTCAAAATGACCTTCCAAGGATTTTTCAAGGTCAGTACCATACTTCCCCCGTGTAACCCTAAACTTTTCATACGAAACATTTTTCTCTATCCCTACTAGTTTTCGAGATATTTGACTGGATCACTTCAGATGGTCCACCCTGTATATGAACTTCTCTCTTTCTCTCTTTTACGACGCGACGCGTGATGCGCTCAGTGGAAACTCAGCCTAATTCGTTATTACTTGTTATTGATTTGCAAAAGTAACTCGTTACTGTTACCATTACTCAAAATATAACGAGTCGTTACTCTTTCCTTAATTTTTTTTCTTGACACTAGTAGAATATTATAGCGTTTTTCATTGACAAAACTTGTGCGCACTCAGCGCACATTAAAGCTGTTGTACACTACTCTAATCTGAATAAAAAAATGAGATATCTCGATTGATAAAACGCCTAAAGTATATTTTATCAAATAGCGTAATAAAATGTATTGAAGAGTTAGTAGTTTAACTCATTTCTAAATTTTTACTAAACATACATCTTTACATCTTATGTCGATTTGTGTTACAACGGCTTTAAAGTGCATTGAGTGCGCACTAACTCCGTCAATGAAAAACGCTATTATATGCAGATTTTTGCGATAAATATAAAAAAGATATCAAAATTCTCTTTTAATAAAGCTTAAAAACTGCACACACACACACACACACACACACACACACACACACACACACACACACACACACACAAGCACGCACACACACGCACGCACGCACGCGCGCGCGCGCGCGCGCGCGCACACACACACACACACATTATTAGTTTTTAAGCTTTATTCCTCTACTAAAAGAGAGATAAAAAAAGGGTAATAGTAATGATCTCACTAGCTACTTTTTTCGGTAACGAATGTAACTGCGTTACCATGGATGTTATTCAGAAGAAAATGTAACGTCGTTATCCATTCGATACCAAAAAAAGTAACTTGTAATGCTAACGACGTTACAAGTAACGTGTTACTTGTAACGTCAACCCTGCTCATAATCAATCGTTAAATAAAGATATGAAATATACATACTTTTCGTCTAATAGCAGGAGCTTTTTTCGGTTTAGGTACAATATCCTAAAAAAATAACATTGAATATTAAACTGTTGTAACAACAGTTAATTAAAATGTATTTTTACCTTTTTGATTTTTTGAATTGGTACTATTTCTGACGGCTGCTGAACTTGTGGAATCGGGACATCTGAAGCAGCAGCAGTTGCTGCTGCTGTTGCTGCAGCTATTGGTTCTTCTTGTAATCTATCATCTTTTATTTCAACATTGCCTTCGCCTAAAGAAGTTTCAAAATTTTCTTGTTTATTAACGTCCATTATCTCATTTAGAGTGGTATTGAAGTCTTGTAAATTAGGTTCACATTGTGCTTCAATTTTCGGCTCATCTTCTTCGTCATTTTCGCTCTGATTATCAGATTCTATTATACGTTTTCTCTTTTTTTTCTTTTTGCCCTTTGTTTTAGGTACTGTCCTGACTCTGGATGTTGTTGATATTGTTCTGCTTCTACAATAATTTCAAAAATAATATTTTAAACATTTTTCTGTATAATAATATGTTTTTAATATATTATTTTTAATATATATTATATATATTACGCATTTCGTACTTTTTCTTTCTCTGCCTCCACGAATTATCGCTGTCTTCACTATCCGAATCTCCCCACATAGATCGCGATTTCTTTCTCTTTGGTCGATCACTCTCGTCACTGTCATCGTTAACTAAAATAAAGTTAAATTATTTAAATAATTTTTTAAAGTTTTACTTTAGAATTACAACCAAATATTTTATTATGAAGATTAATGTAACTAATCCAAGTAATTTAGATGATATAAATTACTATATTTCAAAAATTCTGTATGTATATTTTAATTCTTTAAATTGTATTTCTATAAATAAAATGCATAAATAATAATCATTTGACAAATAATTTAAAATCTTCAGATAAAAATTTAATTATGTAAATTATACAATTAAATTAAACAATATTTATGTAACAAGATATTTGTATAAAATCCAGATATGACATATGATTTCATGTAAAAACAGTCAATTGTAGAACGAGTACCGTTGATTCAATCTTTATTCTTATCTCTCTTATAGCTTAGTTTAAAAAGTTAATTAAAGATTTTTTGAGTGAAAAAAATATGAAATTATTATAACCGGTTTCAAGAATAAATTAATAAATACACATAGAAGATATTAAAAAGTAGAATAAACAGTTTCATTGCCAAAACTTACTAAAATCATCATCGTAGGCCCTAGTCATGCGCGCCCTAGTAGATCTTCTAACAGGTCGCGAATCGCCCTTTCTACCACGTCGTTTTACATCGGCAAAGGTGCTGTCATCAGATGATGTGATATGATCATCAAAGTCCTCCTCTTCTTCGGAGCTTGTACCCTTGAAATCTTCGTCACTATCTGGATCATCTTCACTGCTTATGTCAAGGCTATTCAGCTTCCGATGTTTCTTACGTGCTAACAATCGTATTTTGTTCCTAGCAACCGTATTCTGTTCCTCTTCTATATCATCGATCACATCTTCATTCTCAATCTTATATTCTTCATCACTTTCTTTTTCCGGCTTTGATTCTGTATCATCCTTGTCCTCTTCTAACTGCGTCAATTTTAACGCTTCAGCCTGTAAAATAAATAAATGTAGCATATTATATCTGATACGTATTATGTTTCTATTTTATATATCTATTTATAATTATTTCAACCTACCTGTGCCTCTTCCTTTTCCGCGTTAACAATCGTTGCAATATCCTTGCCTCTTCCCTGATTGCCAGCACCTTGAACTGCTTCAACTTCATCTTGAATTGCGGCATTAATCATATCATCATATTCATTAAACTTGTAGGTGCTGGCGCACCGACGTTCTCGTAACTGATAAACTGGCTCCTCACTTTCCTCGCTACTCGATATTTCGGAACTGGTGCCCGACGAAGAAGATTCTGAAGATTCTACAAAAATAGATTAATATCGCGTATACTATAATGATACACGATAATATTAATTAACATAATATAAATATTATTTAAAAGAACTTAAACAAACGCAATATAAAATACATAATATTCACCGTTGTCTGATTCTTGACTGGATGCTTGCGATCCTTTCGATCCGTGTTGTGTTTCGCCTTTATGAAGTACATTATCCAAACTTATGCCGACAAAAGCCAATCGTTTCTTTCGTAGCACTTCATTCTCGTGTCTTTTTGTTAACTGATCTAGTGTTTTTAAAGTCTCCCGTAATTTGGTCACCAATAAAGTCTTAAAAGATAATTTTATTAAGTACATTTATATATATGAAAACCTTGTAAAAAATGTGCAATATTTATGTATTTATGTGCGGACAATTCACAAAATTGTACAAAAATAATAGATTATATAAAAAAAATATAAACTTACATGCTGGCACGGAGGGCAGAACCAGTCGCCTTCGGGTATAAGCATAAGAGCTGGCCTGAGACAGGAACAATGCCAACCTTTATCGCAAGAATCGCACAAAAGAATCCATTCGGGGTGATCAGCCTTGCCACATTTCTGACAGGCATATTCATCCTCAGCTTCCTCGACATCACTTTGGGCTAATGGAAGATAGATATAGTAGAATAGTCGAATAAGAGAGATCCCATTATATAAATTTCTCTTTAGCAAAGAACTTACCCTTTTGCGCTGTTCTAGCACGTCTTAAAGGTTGAGGCTCATGATCCTTTTCAAGATCACTCTCAGGAGAAAATTCATGATCACTTTTAAACAATAAAGATTCTTCGCTTTCCATATCTTCGTCCATATCCTCTTCTTCATCTTCATTGTCATTCTCTTCGTCACTGCTAGATCCAGATGAACTCTGCCATGGGTTCGCTTCGTTAAATTTAGCGAGCATCTTCTTTTTCTTCCTCTTTCGACGTCTCTTTTTGGACTTTTTCTCCTTTTCAATTTCTTTTATGATAACTTCCTCCTCGCTTTCCGGCTATGTGATACATAAGAATTACTTATATAAATTACAGTTACAGTTTTTCATATATTTAACATAAAACAGTTAATTACCTTCTGCTTCTTTCTTTTTTTCTTTTCTGATTCTTTTTTCTCTTCTATCTCACGCATAGATTCCTCCTCGATTCTACGCCTGTCTGCTTGTTCCTTTATTTTCAATTGCGCTATTCTTCTTGATTGCCTAACAGGCGTTTCATCCTGTGCTGTTACTGGTGTTTCCGTCTCCAACGAGATATCTCTACCTATTTCTAAGCCTAAGACCATTTTTCCTGTAAAAGTTTTTTCAATTAACAGACTTTCACAAATACTGCATATCCCATATCACTATACGTATTTATACTTACGTTTTTTCCGTTTCTTTTGTGCTGTATTTAAGGTATCGTTAGGTGTTTCATCAGGATGAGCACCAGGCGACGTCTGATCGCTCTGAAATTCTGCGAGTTTTGACCGACTCGGACGTCCACCACCCCGGAAACCACGCCTCTTTCTACCCCTAGGACGACCCCTAATCTTTTTATCGTTCGCCGTTGTTTGCATAATATTCGGATCACCACCGCTGCCCTCTTTATTCGCGTGCTCCGCTGCATTATCAGGATCACATTTCACAGCCTCGTCCTCGGAGCTCATCGCCACTCCACGACTTTCCTCGATGGACTTTCGTAATTCTTTATCCGGCAAACGTTTTGCGCGTAACTTCATCCTTTTGCCACCCATCATCTCTTCATCTTCTTGCTTCGCTGCTCCGTCCTCGGAATTCGATTCGTGAGCGCTGTTTCGCCGCTTTCGCGAGACCTTTGGCGTTTCTGTAGTGCTGTCCAATTTCCATCCTTCATAAACCAAATCAGATGCCTGCTTTACGCGAATACTTATCTTAGAAGTATCAGTCGCATCTTCGGTAATATTCTTTAAAGCGTCATCAGTACATGCTAAGGAATCTGTTTCTTCCGGTACATTAAAAACATCTTCATTATCCACGCCTGTCGAATCATCAGAAGCTTCAGAAATATTTTTCATCTCGATGTCCTGAATTTCGGAAGATTCTTCCCTCTCTGCAGTTTCTAAATCGACCTTCTTCGAATCTTCGGCAACAGCCACGGAATCGTTTACCATACCGAAATCATTTTGAAACAATTGCGTTGTAGAGATCGTTGATCTCGTTTCATTCTCGGTTTGTAGCTTTAACTTTTCGGTCTCATTGGAGGTATCTAAAGTCTTAGGCGTTTGCATATCGGAATCTGTTAAATTTTCCAGTATCTTATCATCGGTTTCCATATTCGGAGGTTTAGACTTTAACGGAGGAACATCTTCTATATCCGAGACATCGATTAGCCTCTTACTGGCTTCTTTCTTTGGATCAGATTTTACAGTACCAATTTCTGAAATAATCTTCTGAGCGGAAAATGTTGTCGATTCATTATTTGCATCTGAAGGCTCATTCTTATCAAAATTTTCCGTAATCTTATTTACATTCATGTTTATACTAAAAGGCTCATTTTGATTGTTGCAACTGTCCAAGTTATTAACATTGTCCATCTTCGTGGACATTGAATTTGAATTATACAAGGCATCCAAAGACGTGCTTCCTTCTAAACTTGCACTCTCAGTTTTCCACGTGTGTGATTTAGCCACATCTAAAGTACTATCCAACTTTACTAGCATAATACCTGATTCCGTTTGAATCAATGGTAAATTCACCTCTTCCGTGAACGGTTTAGTCAAACTTTCTTCTTGCGACTTCTCGTCCCATTTATTGTCTTCATTACCACAGTCGAGATCTTCTTTAAATCTTTTGCACGGAATAGGCAATTCCTCAGAATTAAGTTCATTTATACTCTTCGACTTTGCGATATTCTCGATATCTAAATTGACATCTAATTTCTCGTCCACATTTTTTGCTTGCTCTGTTATATGAAGTACGTCAGTCACTTGATTGTCCGTAGCATTACATTCCGTGCTTTCTCGAGTAAGCGAAACTTTTGTGCTTTTATTTGCATCGTTTTCGTTGAAATCATTTTCAGATATTAAACAATCTTCCGTTGTCTCAAGATTATCTCGAGTGACTTGCATCTCGACTGTTTTCGTATTATCAATCGAATTGTTGAGATATTCTTTACTTTTCTCGCTATGACCGATAGTCATCTCAAAACTTTTGCTTTGAAGAGATTCAGTTGTCTCCTCAATCGTGACCGGAGCTACTGAAAGCTTCATCACATCTGACACTTTAGAATTATCAGTAGTAGGAATATCCTGAATATTCGTTTCTTCTTGAAGTTCATCCTTACTTAAAAGCATTGTTGATTGATCAGAACGATATTCAAGGTTATTGCAGGTAGATTTGACTTGTGTTTCGTCGGCACATTTTTGTTCTTTAATTTTTATGTCTTGCTCTGTGATTATAGTTACATCTTGATTCAATACTTCCGTTTCTGAAGGTTCTAACTGTTGTTCGGTAGACTCTGGTTCTTGAGACACATCAGAAACTAAATTTGTGCTGTCGATATCTTTTTCTTTATCAGATGATTTTTTATACTGCTCTTCATCCATTTTTTGCTCTGTCGGGGGAACAGCACAATCTTGAGAATCGTTTATTTGTGTTACATCAGGTTCGAAAACATCATCACTACTATTATCATTGGAATCGCTATCATAATTCGCAACTAGTGACTGTTTGTTAACATTCATGACCTTTATTTGTGATTCCTGAGAAATTATATCTACAGTGTTTGCTTCCGATTGTTCGACAGTTACAGTTGTATCTATCTCTAATTTTTTGTTTGTAATGTTTTCAGCAACTTCTTCACTTACATCAATTTTACAGACATCCTCTGCAACCATCGTATCTTGTTGATCGGTGTTACAAGTTTTACTCTCGTCTTTTACGGTCAATTCTTTAAGATCGTTAGAAGCTCTGCTCTCTGCATCAACTTCAGATTTCTTTTTTTCCAAGATTTCAGTTTTCGTCACTGATAAGTTAATTTCAGACTGACAAGATTCATGTTCAATATTCGTAAGAACTGGAGCTTCTTTCTCAATTTCTATTGATTCTTGCATTATATCTTCTTGCATTGTATCTTCTCGCATTGTATGTTCTTGCATTTTATCTTCTTGCACTTTATCTTCTTGCACTTTATCTTCTTGCATTTTATCTTCTTGCACTTTATCTTCTTGCACTTTATCTTCTTGCATTTTATCTTGTATTTTATCTTCTTGCATTTTATCTTCTTGCATTATATTTTCTTGTGTTGTATTTTCTTGCATTGTAATTTCTTGCGTTGTAACTTCTTGCGTTGTATCTTCTTGCACTGTATCTTTTGGCGTTGTATTTCCTGATTTTTCATCATTCGTTGCAGTCTCCTCAGTTTCTTTATACGATTCGTTCGATTCAGACACACGATCATCTATAACCATCTCACCATTCGAATCTTGATCAATGCAAGAACTGGGATTTTCAGAAACATTGTCCGCGTACTCGCTTGTAGACTGAACTAAATTAGATGAGCTTATTTCTTTCATAGTTTCGACACTACCAGACTGTTCACAAATATTCGTTTCAGGCACCGTTACAGGCGAAATATTGAACGTAGAAGGCTTATCAGTATCAGACGAAGTATTTCCACCTTTTTCATCATCTATTCGCACAGGCTCGCTCTCTTGAGATGAAGAGTCTTGTGCAGAGGCAAGTTCGTCTGAACTGCTTATAGTAGGAACTACATTGTGTTTATCACTTTCTCGAGCCGATTCCGAATTAGTCACCACAGAACTTTCAGGAAAATGTGTTTCAGAATGTATACCGAACACAGTATCATTAACTTGCACATCGTTCAATCCTTTATCTTTAATTTCTTCAGAATCACCTGACCCATCATCCTGGGTTCCTACATCAGATAATGCATCAGTTCTTTCGCTATTCTTATCGTAGTTAACACATAACGAATCAGCATCAGAACCAGTCAGGCCTTTCATTTTCTCATTGTCCGTGTCGGTTGAATGATCTTCCTGGCCATCGATTTCGGAGAAATTGTCATTCTTGTCACTCTGCTTATCACAACTTTCTCCGATGGAATCTAGATCGGTTTTCTCGAGCCTGTTTGTTTCCTGATAACTCGTAGATTCCACTTTATTCGTGGAATTCGAATCTAATGATTCGTTCGACTTGTTAACGTTCTCGAATTCCCTGAGATCAGTTAGCTCTGCTTGCGAATTTTGTGTAAGTGACGATAAAGACGAATGCGCCATTGTCTCGGATTCAATTCTGTTTTGCTCTTCCTTACAAACATTTGTACTATCAGACTGATAATCACTCTCGTTTTTAGAGTCTTCGGCCAGTAGTTTATCCTCTTTATCATCCAATAGCTGCGATGTCACATCGTCCGATCTTTTAAAAGAATCTTCTTGACTCTCTGTACTTACAAGATTTTCAGAATCGATAGACTGATCGCATTGCGATGGTTCAATAATCCCACATTCTGCTGACTGAACATTGGATTCGCTATTCGAACTGATTTTAATTGAATCTTCTTCAGTCATACTTATGTCATTAATACTTTCAGTTACCACTTCTGACGTAGGACTTGTATGCAATTTTGTGCAGTCATCCTCTCCCATTTTTTTATCAATACAAACAGATTCTTGCACATTTGACTCTTCGCTCGCTTCTATTTCAACTTGCGCGACAGATGAACTAGCAGCATTGTATTCGAACGCGGTGTTTGGATCTATTGAGCTATTGGGCGTCAAAATCTCTTCCTTTGTTTGATCCCATATGTTACTTGGCGCTTCAATTTTTTCGATATCTTTGCTATTATTTCCACATAAAACACTGTCAGATTCCAAGGTAAACACATCTGATTTCAACGAATTATTGTTTGTTTGTGTCAAATCAAAATCTTCCGTCTTGTACGAACAAACAGTATCATCCGCTGACTTCGACGAAGATACGCATTCATATTGCACAGTGTCCGTTTTATCGTGAATGGATGTAGTCAGGCTTTGTTCCGACTGAGATCCTAATTCATCGGATTTTGAAGTGTACGAAATGCAATTGGGACCAAAAAAAAATCTCGGCGGAGATGCAGCTGCTGGTTTGCATTCGTTATTCGTTATTTCGAGAGTATCTGATTCGCGCAAAACCATGCTACTCGAATCAAATAAGTTTTGTGTAATGGCTGAATCTGTCGTAGGTTCAGGATCTGTACATGGTTCAGGTTCTTGCAAAATGTCCGCTTGGCACGACGATATCGACGAGTCGCACTGCACAAGCTCTTGAAGCATACAGTCTCTTTCCTGTTTCGTCGTACTTATATTTTCCGAACTTACGTCGGGCACTTGTAATTTAACACTATCTTCGATGGCCTCACTGTCTGTGTTTACAATATCATCTACTTTAACGCCTTGATCCACATCAGCGGAATTCTCGTGTCTAGTTTTGGCCGATTCAGCATCCACATTCAGCAGCTTCTCTTCCACATTATCATGCTCATGATCATCTGTATTTTTCTTCAGTGATATGTCTCCTTCATTTGATATGATACTACTGTCACATTCTTTCTTCTCTTCTGGTTTTCCCACGTCCCACCTGGACAACCTTTTGACAGGACCGGTTGTACTTTTAGGTATTATCTGGACGCCTAACGTGTGCTTAAACTTTGGCTTTTCTTGTATAGAATCTACTATTTGACAATTATCGTTTACGCTTACATTAGACTGTGGATAATTTCTATTTAATTTTACAGGGGTTTTGTTCGACAGTATCGAACCCGTAGATATCTCGTCTTCAGTTAAAACCTTATTCTGCGACAGCGCCGTGGTAGCTGAGTCAGGTTCAGTTTTTGATTCGTTGCTTTCTTTATTGTCAGTAGGCGCGTCGTCCCCGGGATTACCCGTTCCGCATTCGGCGCCAGAACCCTCGCCGTAGAAAAAAGTCGTCGGTTCCTCTATAGCCTCTCCAACCATGGGATTTACTGCGTCGCAGTCGCTGCCAGATCCCTCGCCTTGAACCATCATTATAGGCTCCTCTATAGCCTCACTCACCTCGTCTCTCCAATTGCCACTCATCATCGGTCTCTTGTCTATAGAGCCCCTGATTGGAATTACATCCGCCCTTATCCTCTTCAGCATATCTTGCTGTATGTCATCATCCTCTATAGGACGTTTCAGTGGTGCACTGTTCATCCTCAGCGTCGTGATCTTGCTGGGATCGGAAAGTATCGCATAACTTGGTAATCTGTGCTCGTCCTTGGCAGGTAATCTAGCTGTATTATGATACGGCGTCTCGTACGCGGTGAACGGCATTTGTCTCTTGCTCAAATCAGCCACCATCACATGATTACGTAACATTACGCTACGCGCATCGTATGGCAGATTCGATACTTCTGGTTTGTTCACCTTCTTCGTACTCAGATCCATTTCTCGATGCTGGAAATCTTGCGTCCTATAACCAGGAGAAGGCAAATCCATTGTTTTTCCCAATTTTCGACTAGAAAGATCAATTCCAGAGAAATCCACCGGTCTATTTTGTTCGTTTGCGTTTTCCCAACCACGCGGTGACGTTGACAAGTCTATGCCTCTATGACTCCTGTGCGTTGCCGACTTTTCGGATTGATTTCTCGCGCAAAAATCTTGTGGCAGCCTATCATCCTCTCCGTTTACCATATTTCCCAATATACTACTAGACCTTGCTAAAGTTTCTGCAATCTTTTCCAGCGATTTCGGCCCGCTTGGCTTCTCCAATTTCTCTGACTGTATCCTTACAAGATTTGCAGCTAATTGGTCGATTGGTTTGACAGACAGTTTACTGTGCCCCACAGAAATGGAATCTGTAGTCGAGAAAGATAGACTGTTTTTGCTAGACAATTTCTCGAGAGCCTTTATCTCGTCGGAAGGACCGTGTTTCTTTATCGCGTTTAAGGGCGCGATAACAGATGTCGGGCTTACTAACTTTTCTTCTGGCGGCTGCTTCAATTCCGTAATATTTACTAGTTTCAATGGAGACGAAGTAATAACAGGCGTTTCTATAGATTTTAACGGTGCCGGTTCTTCAACTTCAGCTTTTATAACACCGGTCTGCTTGTGTGTTATTAAGGGTTTGTTTTCTGATACCAAGAAAGCGGACATTTTGTCAGTCTCTCTGTGGCTCGCATCTTCTAATTTTGCCACTTTCATGTTTAGCGTCTTTAAATTAGTCGCCGACGAAGATGAATCATTTGTACACCTTGATTCTGTGCTCGGAGTTTGTATCATTTCTTGAGAATCGTCTTCCTCCGTAATCTGCTTGGAACTTTCATCATTCGTCGTATCTTCTTCTTCCGCATCAATATCTTCTTCTTCATCAACTTCTTCTTTTTCGATTTCATTAATGGTAGCATTCTGAACTTGATCTTGATCCTGGTCTTGATCTTGATCATGTTCTCGTTCATCCTCCAACTCATCACTTCTACCATTTGGTAACTGCTTCATTTCGTGAACGCCGTTTTCTTGCACAACTTCGTCTTCTAAACTTGGAGACGTTGTTACTTGTCCAGTGTCAATTATAGGTTTCTCAGAGATTTCCAAACTGTTGCTATCCTCATTAATTGGTATAGCTCCGATTTCGCCATTTGACAAGGTACTTATAAGATTAACAACACCTTCTCGATCCCTATTATAAATAACATATGCATTGATAGAGGTAAAGAATAATAAATGCCAATACAAATAATAATAGGTTCAGCATATTAATAAAAATAACAGTTTAGCTTTTGTTAATATTTAACTTACAATTAATATATAAGACAGACTTACTGAGCTACTAATTCCCAATTCTCTTCATCTAAATCTTCTCTATAAACTCTTATGTTGCACTCTTCATCCAGCTGACACCAGTACGCTAATCCACTTTTGTCCCTTCCTAAAGGTTCCACACGCAACTCGTTAGCTGCCAATTTGTTTACTTCATTCTTAAACTTTTGATTTAAGTCAAATTGTGTTTCCAATAATACCTAAAATAGAAAAAGTATTTAGTATTATATATAAGATAGATTAACTATTTGATCCTACAGACAGACAAGAAAAAAAATACAATTATATGATTCATACTTTAAGTAAACGCAGTTTAACAGCAATGCGAGCTTTCTTGTAACCGAAGCGTTCAAGTTCCCATCCATCCTGGTTAGAGTACGTGTGGCAAAACTTGACTAGCGCCCTCTCCCACTTTTCTGGTGACACGGATTTACGTGTTTTTCGCAACAACTTGATGTGCAGATCTATTAATTCTTGCGACACTAAAAAAATATAAATTTATAAGAAACAAAAGAGAAATAATCATATATATACTTTTTTTACTGCACGTGTTACACATACATATACAATTAGCTTTCAAATTACAAGATTTTATTGCCAACATAGTTATGAATTTGTATGAAAACCTTACCAATATATATTTATATTTAAATCTCCGATAAGATATTTATTAAAATAATATACCTAATATATAAAATAATTTAAATAAAACCAAATAATGGAAAAAATATTATCTAAAAAATACATTTTTCCAAATTTAAATTAAATTTAGGGTGTTATAGATAAACAATAAATCGAACTTGAAGCGTAAATCATGAATGGAAATCCGAATAACGTGAGAAAAAATTGAGTACTGTTTTGTTTACGTATTCTATAGTTAATGGAAACAATCGTCGGCGAATTCTGGAGCGCTTAAATCGGGATTAATCGATGATGTTTCCCAGAAATCGGAGCGGAGCAGCGTAAGCGCATTGCTTGTAAACTCGTAATCACGTGTAACCGACAAGCTGACAAGGTGGCAGCACGCGGCGGAACAACAACGTGAAACCCCCCCGTATCTCTCGTCTGTATCTGTCAATAGCAACGCTTCGCGGAGGGAACGTGTTATTAGGCCGTTCAGGTCGGCGCGAAACCGCGCGGAACGCGAGGGAGGGACGCGTAGAGAGGGACGGCCTGTAAGTTACCTATACCGATATCTCGCGCCAAGTCGCTCGCACACACCAAAACAAAAAGTAGCGGTGGAAACGGTGACGGCGACGGCGGCCGCGGCAGCAGCGGTAGTGACGGCCGCCCGTTCCCACTGTCCATCGTTCTTGCTCCTCGAAGGAAACGAGAGAGCGAAACTGCCTCCTCCGCCGGAACGAATCAACGGACGGCTGAACAGACAAAACAAACGAACAAGGCCTCGCAGTCGAAGCAGAGACGTACGAAAGAAACTAATAGTACGCGCTTAGACGATTGGCCTCTCGCGGGGGCGGGTCGCTGTCGTTCCCTCTCGCTTCCTCCTGCGCACCTCCTCGCGCACTCCATCTCTCTTCCCCTCACCGTCTAGCGGCGCATATACAACACGACCGTCTCTCTCTCTCTCTCTCTCTCTC